TATATATATACATGCACATATTTTATTGAGAAATGCCGCGAGTACATATTTATCAATAGGTCATGATTTTAACAACATCGTGACTCAATAATCATATTGAGTGAATGTGATTACCTTAATTAAACATATTTTATCTACGAGAATCTCTTAAAAATACTCGTAGTTACTTGCTTTCCTTACCAACAGCTTGTGAATATCTATGAAATGGAAATAATATGTCCCACTACTGGGCACCTTTCAATACGACCGGTTTAGATCATACTCCACCACTAGCACTGACTGAGCATGTCTTTGGAAAACTTGATAGGTTCTCTCAAAAATGCAGGTTTAAGCGTGCAAAATTTAAGCATAAAACGATAACAGGCAGACATACATAGTTTCATGCCCATTTATAATATTAGTATGAATTATATGACACCGTTCCATTATTTTTAAATAATCCACGTTCTGTGCTTCACTTTGTAAGTAAAATATTAGATTTGTCACGCCTATTGTAAATAATAACCATAACGGCCATATATTACTGTGTTTGCACGCATTATGATTTAGGAGCATTTGTTTTAGTGCATTTGTTACGGCTCTTGCTATTATTTAAATGACTCTACGAGTCTACTGTTGTAGTAAAAGTGCATGAGAATATCTGAAACCGACTTTAAAAGAGGAGGTTCGTTAAAAGGTATGTATGTAACCTATGTGATGTTTTCTTTTTATTTTTAAAATATATATTTGTTAATTTATAGATGGTAAAGGGATTTTCTTATACAGCCTGAATTAGTCATTGTATTCTATCCTTAGTTGTGTATATTTTTTTAATTTATACCATAGATTTAGCTGATATCGATTCATTAAAAAAAAAGAAACATGGACTATACCTCCAAATAAATTGAGTTACATCTTTTTTGAAATCCGTCAAAAACAGCTTAAAAAACCTAATATATTAAAGGACGACATATGAGTTTGTTTATAAACGTAAATAAATAGAAAACTACGTGAGCAAATCGGCAATCAGTAGCTGGTATAGTATTAAATATGTATCCATTCAATAATATAAACTTTAATTATAGCCCCGAAACATACGTAGGTACTTACGTCGTACATATTTGGTTATCAGATGTAATTGTAGAAAGCTATGACGCAAGACTAGTAACTGACTGTGTAATTTGATGTACGCAATTAAATGAGATGGTTAATTTTAACTCAAAGTATCATCTTTACAGGTAAAAGTATATAATTATAGGTTTTAGTATTCGTGTATGTTATTTTAAAATATAGAGATCCGCTCTCACTCTACGTACATATGTTTTGTCTTTTAGTATTTTTTTGCTAAACTAGCTTCTTGTGGCGTGTTTGTATCGGCGTAATAATTTCTTTTTAACAAAAAAAGTAACAGACTAAAACCAATTTTAACAGTAATCATGCCTCTGATAAACGTGATATTTTGTAATGCTCATCCTCGCTCCGCTCGAGTTCGTCCCTAGTTACGTTTAACGTTTAGTATAGATTTCTCAGAGATGAGATATTTTCCCGCATTAAAAAGTATCCAAAGTATCCTATAATATGTTGACCAGGATAACCAGCTATCATCATGCCTTTCATCAAAATCTGTCCAGTGGTTTTGTCGTGAAGCATTCCCAGACAGAAAAATACGAAAATTCTAAGAACTATAGATTCAGCCTCCTTATCGATAATAATGACTATTTCAATAAGGGTTTCCAAAAAGTATTTAATGCACAGATTCGACTCAGAATTTTATTATATGTATACGGACCCTTACTAATTATTACTTAGAATTTAAAAAAATAATCAGGAAAATCGCTTGGTGGAGATATCATGTAACTATCACACCCACACATAAACAAAAATCGAATTACATATGTACCTTTGCCTCGCTCGGGTGCGACCCTAGATACGTTTCAATTTTTTTGAGCGGAACCCTAATTCTTTTCTCAGTCTAAGTTACTCCTTATAACATCAGCTATCTGCCAGTGAAACTCTCGTCAAAATCAGTACAGCCGTTTGGGCGATTTCAATAGACAAAAGCATTTCGATCCGCTTTTTTGTTGTTTCGTGAAAGAAAAACAATCTAAATAACACACTTTCGCATTAAAAAGTTAAAATTGGTCGAAATAGTGATTTAGTTTGAGGAAAGTGAGAGCTCATAATATCAAAAATATGGCGTCCACAAATGAAAATATCAACAGGGAAAATAAAATATTTGATTATCGAAATAAAATGAGTCTCAATCAAATTAAAAACTTAACAAATACCATACTAATTTAATATACATTAAAGAAATAATATTAGGTAATAAACATCCTCTTGATCAATTCCAATTTCCAACACGACCAGTGAGAAATCAGTCCCAACCGACATTTTCGCATACGAAATACACCTATAATCTACATATATATAGCATAACACTTGTGGTACAATTTTGATGATTAATTTACTCTTTATTTACTTTACACAGCCGTAATATTCGCTATGTTAAGATATTTTAAACAATAAAAAATACGTGTGTGTGTACTTATGTACGCACGTAAGAAGTTATACTTCTTTGTCATAACAGAACAAAAATAGCTAAAGATTTCATCCCGTATGTCACAACTCTCTGTTTTAAAAGGAATGCAGCTAAATGTTATAAGAATGTTGTAAAAATTGTAAAAAAAAATGTCGCTTTCAACTAACTTCATCATGTCGCTTTTTTGGCTGTCGGTGTGCGCGCGCATTGTAAAAATTTTACTCTCATAATTTTTTCCAAACGTCGCAAAAGAAGTATAACTTCAAAAATGTCACAAAATCGAAGGTCTAACCTCCGGGCTAAAATATCAAAGCTCAAAGTGTTGTATTATTGCGTTAGAAATAACCTTGTTATACAACAAAAACAAAACGCATATAGAATGTAAATTTGGAATGAGGAAATCGTTTAAAATTATTTTATTTCAACGTCCCTCGTTTAAAGGAGTTTTTTAACTATAAAAAATTACGCCTGTTTTTTAAGTACATATTTAAGGCCGTAACAGCAACATTTTGCAAGAATATCATTTAATTTTTTTTCATAAAACAAAGTAATATGTTGTTATTCTACGAAGTTGACTATAAATTATCTTTAATGTCACAGATATAGTGCTCTCCGAAGCTTGAAATTCAGTCTGCTTTATTATACGGTTTTAAATGGTCACCCATCTTACTCTGTGCCAATGGGAACGTGGTTTGACTTGCTATTTATAGTATAATATTAACTTTACATCGTAAACCACATTGTAACGTAAAAATAACTTCGTATGTTAAACTTTTTAATTTATATATATTTATATAAATGCTGCACTACTCAAGTCACGTAAATACGCCTCTCTTAGTCAAAATTATGTTTTTGCACCATTTGCTGTAAAAACCCTTGGCCCATGGAGTCAAAATGCTAAGCAGTTCTTAAAAGACATAACACCTCGTCTTATCGCCTCTACTAGTGACAAGAGAGCTGGCTCATTTTTCGCCCAAAGAATCGGCTTCACCATCTAGCGGGGGAATGCGGCTAGCATTCTTGCCACTATTCCACGGGGTCATGATTTGTACAGTAATAACTTAGTATACATTTGTTTTGTTTATATAATTAAATATATTTATAATTTTCCGTATTGTTAATAAAATTATATTATTTGTAGACATTTTGTAGTTATTCTAATAGAAGAAAATACTCGTATGTGCCTAACGGCGTCTTCATTTACTATGTACTCGTAATTTTGGACCTAGTTTCAAAATCTAATACTTTAAAAAAATACAATCTGCCTATTTATTTACTTCACTTTTATTTGTCAGCCAAATTGAGTAAATAATTATTTAAAAATTTTATCCCTTTTTAACCCTCTAAGGGATGAGTTTTCCTAAATCCCAGTGCTTGTTTTCGTTATATAAAGAACTTTCTAAAACACCATGCTCCTAAAGCCAGAGATTTAAACGAGAACCTAGATTCAGTGGGATATTGTATTCAAAATTTTTCAAATTTTCAATTTTTTTCAAAAAAGTTCAAGAATTTTATAAGAAGTAGATTTTTTACCGATTTTAAAACAGGAAGAGAGAGAAATATACTGAATATTATTGGTATATGGAAAATCGAAAATCTACAGTTATTTTTTTTTTAGTTTTGAACTGATGTATTTATATCGATTCGTTCGCCGTTTCGTTTATTCAAACATTTTAACAAAATTTCCAAATCCCATATTAGATGTTAAGAACTCGTTTTTGGAACTAAGCCCATTATTTGAATAAGTAAATTCGCAAATATAAGATATGATAATACTCGTACGTGCCTAATGTTGTTCAACAGGTTTAACATCCGATTAGTTACCACTAAACTAACAGTCTATTCTTCCAATTTTATCTTGATTCGCTTAGATTTAGTATATATATTATTTAGAGACTCGATTTTATTTGTACTGTAATTTATATTAAAACTCTAGGTACCTATGTGTTAACGGTTTGTATAGATTTCGCAGAGATGAAATATCTCAAATGCTGAACCAGATAACCAGCTATCACCATGCTCAGCAAAATCTATCTGTCCTATGGTTTTCTCGTGATGCGTTCTCAGACAGACAGACACAGGCAGACAGAGAGACCGACAAAAATTCTAAAAACTAGAGATTCGGACTCTGTGTCCATAATAATGACTATTTTCCAAAAAATATTTAATGTACAAATTCGACTCAGTTAGAATTTTATCATACGTATAGATTTATATTCATTGTTCTTTAACCTTCTTCTCCTGAATTATCTTTAAGATCGTTCATGAAATGTTTATAAAAATATATATGTTGTAAAAACGGGCATTTTTACATTTCTAACAATATTAAACATAAACAAACGTCAAACATGTTCTAAATAGAATTAGTTTTATAATAAAATTATACTTAAATACATTTTTCACACACATACAAATTTTCTTATTTATAATATTAGTACGATAAAGATGAAAATGTTATCAAAACCTATCTCTTTCACAGTGGTGGTCAACAACGTCGTGTGTCATTCGCAGTAGCCCTCATGCATGACCCAGAACTCCTCATTCTGGACGAGCCCACAGTGGGCGTAGACCCTCTGCTGCGACAGTCCATCTGGACCCACCTGGTCCGCATCACCAGCTCTGGAGATAAGACTGTTATCATCACAACCCATTATATTGAAGAAGCTCGACAGGCGCATTGTGTGAGTACTCACTAACTTTCAATTCAATTCTATTTTCTTGTTCTTCTTGGTTTAAAGCGTGCCAGCTGAGCATAAATTACTTCGCCATGGCCACGTAGAATGAGAAGACACGAAGGACTCACTAACTTTTACTATATAATAATATATCTACAGAATAATTCATACAGTAGATGATCGTCTTTTATTTTAACGAAAATACTGTGAATGAAAGGGTTGTCAAAATTACTAATTTTCATGGCGAACTATTACCAAGTTAAAGCGCTGTGAATCTCGTGACATATTACAATTATATCTGGACACCCCAAAAATGTTTCTTGACTTTCATATAAAAGTAAGTATGACAGTCGGGAGTGCCTCATCCGTGTCACATCTTGCACGCCCCGCACGTTGCATTTCTACCTTGGCAAAATGATAGAAAAGGATAGAGGAGGGACAGGGTGCTTTTGTGACCCTCTTGAGATTATCTTACTCTATTATATAAATGATTTGATAATACAATACTGTTGACGTTTAATCACTCATCGATCAAAAAAGTATTAGCTACACAATCAGAGACAAAAAATGTCCTCGCCAAATGAGCGCTCATTTGAACATTTCAGCGCGCTTTATATCTATTTTTTTGTGAAAACAACTTTAAGCATTATATTTAAGGTTCAATTTACATTGTTGTATATTTATTTCAAATAGTATAATTACCTAAACACAATTGGTGACAGTTTTAAGAGAACTTTTGTATGGGATTGTGTATCTAGTAGTTTTTGTTCGATGCTGGCCCTCATAGAAATGTCTTGATGTATATAAAGATTTTCATTGCCAGCTACTTATTATTTCAAAACTAACGGCTCTGATCGCTCAAGTGATAATATTTAATTGTGTATGTCTCGATCCGTGAAGACGTTACGCAGAGCGAATTATACGAAATGAGAAGTGATAAAAACGGGCTATATTACCTACACAGTTTTAAAAATTTAAGCGTTTATTTAAAATTAACTTATGCATGTTTCTTACGTTGAAAATCGCGTGTATTCGAGGGCTTTGAGAAATTGAATTTTTTTATGAAAACTAAGTATACATTATTCTTTATCTAATGAATTGCGGAGGTTAAATCAAGGACTATTTCGCAAAACGCTATCTTAAAGTTAATGGTAGTAATTTAGTATCATTGCAATCGGATGATTTAGTTAGAAATATAAGCATTACAAACAGACAAACATGTCCTTTTACTAGCTTTTGTTCGCGATTTCGCTCGCATAATTTATTTGAGGTTAGAGTTCGTTTATTTTCTCTAAAATAGATCTTTAAAATAGTAGTCGTTTAAAATAGTATTTTTTAAAATCATTTTTGGACTCGCACTTTAAATAAACAAATTATGTATTCAATTTTTTAATACATATTAGTAAACATAAAAGATAGATATTAAATATACCCACGTTATAGCCTAAGCGAAAATAACTCAAACATAATTTTCATTTCGCATACCAAATTCCTCAATTCCAGTTCAATAAAACCAGATAGTTAATTAAAAAAATAATTCTAATATTCTGCCGTCATAAAAAAGAAGACCGCAATATCGTCAAAGTTGATTTCGAGATATTTGAAGTTTTGTTTTAGTATTTAGTAGTAGTTTTGACGTAGCTTCGATGAAATTATGATATTATTACATATTATTATGGTATCTCCGGATTCATAAGACTTAGAGCTTTATGAGTAAGACTATCAAGTAGCATTTTTTTGCTGATTCCGAATCTGCATTTAAGTCATTTTTGACCAAATTGTTATTATGGCGGCAGTATTGCTGTTAGCTTTATTAAATATGAACTTTATACACATTCAATGAACACATGTATGTCTTTATGTTTTAATTATGTAATTTATTTATGATCATAAAATTTATAGCAAAAATATATATTGATTTATATTCATTCATTGTTTGAGTGATTGGATATTTGCAGATTTCATGTACACATTTTTTACGTTTTCTATGACATTTTATGTCTTAAACATTAAAATTAAATAATATGTTAATTTCTATTAATTGAACTAAAGTTCAATTAATAAAAGTATGAAAAATATTGTATACTCATCGAACAAAGAGTTACAAGATACACAATCAGCGATAAAAAATATCCTCGCCAAATGAGCGTTCATTTGAACATTTGAGTGCGCTTTTAATGCATTGTTTGTTTGTTGTTTGTTGGTTGGTTGGTTGGTTTGAACGAACTAATCTCAGAAACTACTTATCCGATTTAAAAATTCTTTTTGCATTAGATAGCCCGTTTATTGAGGAAGGTTATATATCATCATGCCACTATCCAAGGGAGCGGAGCAGTAATCCTAAATGTCAGCAACTCGGACTGACTTCAAGATATTGTTGTAAAACAGATGTTTGTAATCAAACAAAAACGCGAGTAAAACCGCGGGGCACAGCTAGTGTTAGCTATCTCTATTACGAATTTCACCAAAATATGTTTAGCCGTTATAGAAGAAGTAACAAACTGTGTAATTTGTGATCATAATGGTTTCCATACTTCGCTTCCAGATCGGTCTTATGAGAAGTGGACGGTTGCTCGCCGAAGAATCTCCTCAAGCGCTATTGACTATGTACAGCTGCGTTTCACTGGAAGATGTGTTCTTGAAGCTATCGAGAAGACAAGGTAATTATTATTATAGACTTATTTTTTTATATTTTAGGTAAAATTGTGTTTGATTCTTAAATTTATAGGCGAGTTCGTCTTATACCATTTTATTGTCTGTAAAAATAAATCACAAGTTCATTCTGTTTGTCTGTTCGTTTATGTTTGTTTGTGTAATTCAGGATATAGTTTTTAGTTTGGAGATACTTCGCCATGTATTTATATACATTTGTCCGTGATAGATAACTTTTTGTATCAGATTCAAGACTAACAGATCTTGTTGGAAAAATAGCTCTCTAGATATGAGTGAAAGAAATGCGATTTGATGGTAGAGTCACAACTAAAAACACTTTCTTAGATTTAAGCGAATATTTGACCATGTCATGTCGCGCACGTCGGGAACCAAAAATCAAAAAAATCGCGCAAAACCGAAAATATAGTTTTATTTTAAAAGTCACAACGCTATCAAAATCTATATAAAAATCTCAATTGACACAATCACCTACAGACAAACAGATATAACTTCCACTGGTACATTTTGATAGATGTAAATAATATGACGTTAAATTACAAACGCGATTTGCACACGGTAATTTATGACATAATGATTGACTACTTTACACTTTCTATATCGATACTACACGTAAACGACATGGCATAATATTTTTCCTACAATTTTCTATATAATAATTTAAAAAATGTCCGTTTGTGAATGTGATTTACGATTTTTTTTATGGGTAAATAATATTTTTTTGGCCATCTGTCTATAGACCTATAGGTCATATTATACAAACAAAAGAGTTCATTTTAACCAAAAAATACTAGAAAGGTACACAATCCCATGCAGAAGTTTTCTTAAAACTGTCAATTGTGTTTAGGCAATTCTAGTAGAAATAAATATACAACAATTTGAATTGAACCTTAAATACAATATTTAAAGTTGTTTTCACAAAAAAATAATTAAAAGCGCGCTCAAATGTTCAAATGAGCTCTCATTCGGTGAGGACATTTTTTTGTCGTTGATTGTGTATCTAGTACTCTTTTGATCGATGATTTTACCAATATTTTAACTAAATTCTCATTTGAGGTTTTTTGCGTTTGGAATATACTTTTCTTGCTGATGAATGAGTCATACGTTTTAGTAAGTGTCATAAATCATAAGTCATCATTACATAGAAAAAGCATTATTATGCTAACTATGTATATAGTTATCATATTACGAAAATGAAATTGATCGCGATAGGTAGATCTAGCATATTATATTCTAATTGTTACTTTCTAGATAATATAATTGAATTAAAAAAAAAATTAAATTAAAAATTAAATATATAAATTAAAATATAATATATTATATTTAAATATAATATAATAAATTAAAATATAATATATTTTAATTTATTTATTTACTAATGAAAATCAACAAACATCACATCCACAGAGTAAACACACATTGTCAAGCGCTTTTTATCCGCTGGAGATATCTGTAATTATCAGAATTGAATGCCTTTCAATATTAGCGGAGTGAGAACTAACCCACGGTAAGAGGGGTTAGGTAACAGTTACGCAAGACGCACGTAACACATTGTGTTTCCGTCCATATATCCGTTATCCGAAGAGATCATGATTATATTATGATTATTAACCGATTTTAAAAATGAAATATGCAGTGTTTAAAATACCTTGCGAATATTTGAAGGAGCAGAGAGTGACGACTTTTCATCTTTTACGTCTATATTGTACTAGCTTTTGTCTTAGGCTAAGTATATGGGGCTATGATGTAAGGGTGAAGAAGTAACAAACATACTCACATACTGTCGCATTTAATATTAGTATGATGTTCTTTAGATACCTTTTTCTTTATCGATCTTTAAACTTATTTGGGATACAAATGCTTTGTTTTTTAATAATCTCATTTACTATTTCATTTCTGAACAAGATTTTCTTCTTTATACTGTCAATTATAAATATCAACTTGGTTTTATTCAGTAAAAGTTAAATGTATAGTTTTAGTATAGAGTTCATTAAAATTTTTAAAGAACCCGTAACGTCTGCTGCAACAGGTAGTGCCTCTCAATAACTTAACCACTCCGTCATGACGATTTTTTTTTTGAGTTTGTCTTTATAAAAACTAAATTACCTACTACTGCAGTTTCTTGCTGTCATTACTCATTAGATTTAATATGAGACGACGAGTGAGAGCGAAAAATCTAGAAAAAGACAGAAATCTAGAAGTTATTTGTGCTAAAATTTTATATATATTTTTTAACTTTTGTTAAAAATGTTAAGCTAAATTCATACAAAAAAGATATAACGTACATATAAAAAGCTTAAAATATAAGATATTCTAGATTTAACTTGAACAGTAGGCTATGTAATGTAGCGGTATATGTATATCCTGTGTTCCAATGCAGATAAAAACGTATCTTGATTTGTCCCTAATATTCCATACAGGAGTATAATTCTTGTTAAAAAATAGACGAAACCATGATATTCAACTAGTCTTAAGTTCTCAAATGTTTACATTTCACAAAGCAGTCCAAGGCTCGGACTAATACGCGCCAACCTTCCTTTGTTCTGTTGTAATATTTCGCGATGCCACACTCTACATACTGTATACTCGTTTTATTGTCGGTCAAACGATTATCGTACCTTTTGAAATCATGTCTTGTGATGTATTGAGAATCGCCTCATGTTTCTGTTAGTAGTGTTATAAAAACATTGTATAATCTATATAGCGATTGTATCGTGCACCAAGGCGGTGGTAGCCCAGTGGTAACACGCTCGCTTGGGAAACGAGTGAGGCGGGTTCAATTTCCGGGTTTCGCACATCTGATATTTGCATGTACGGATCATTTCCAAAATGATTACCACAGGATGAGGAAACCTGTCTGAGAGAACCTAGTAAGTTTTCGCAAGATATGTGCAGTCCGCCAACTTGCACTGCACTTGGGCAGCGTGGTGGACTATTCTCAATATGTATCTTAAAATACACCTTATAATAATATTACGTATAAATTTTACAATTAATTATATACAATATATATACGTATATACCAATTTTATATGATTTAAACGAATGACGTCATCACAGCTCAATGATCTTTGAACCTTTAACTCATCTCAGTTCTCATTAGACGTCACTTGCAAATACTTTATTCTCGTATCGTATGTAAATTATAAAACTACGACGTAAATAAAATGACGTTATAACTATAATTCGCAAGTTGTATCTTATAATAGTTCCGGTCAAACATTCCGTTATGGACCTACTTATTTTTAGTGCTTAACGCTTACACGGGAATTCCCTTGCGAGACAGCACGAAATTGCTATTATTTTATGTATATACAATATGCATATTGCATACGTTACATATCTTTATAAATAGTAACTTATAAAGGTATATAACGTATGTATAAAACAGTACTTTAATTGTATACACATTACCTATTACTTTGAGGACGTCGTTTTAAAGATCCACCTTTCCTTTCAATCGCTTTTTAAGGGAGTCCTTGGAATATATGCCCGTAGAACGTGATAGTAATGGGCGCATATAAGGCTGTCTTTTGTATTTTATCTTTATGCAACGATCAAAAAAGTACTAGGTGCACAATCTCATGCAAAAGTTCTCTTAAAGCTGTCACCAATCGTGTTTAGGTAATTATTCTAGTTGAAATAAATATACAACAATGTAAATTCAATCTTTAAGCAGTGCTTAAAGTGGTTTTCACATAAAAAAATATTAAAAGCGCGCTCAAATGTTCAAATGAGCGCTCATTCGGTGAGGACATTTTTTGTCGCTGATTGTGTATCTAGAACTTTTTTTGATGGATGTCTGTCTTTACGTTATAATACATAGTTATATAATTTTAACTGTCATATCTCTTTACCAAAGGTCAAGCGAACCAAGTGGTAGAGCTGAATGTATCTGGCGGAGGGCTCGGCCTCAACAAGATGTCCAAGCGCGAAGAGGCGCCCTACGCGGCCGAGGACAACCAGGTGGTCGGCCTCAACTTCCACCAGAGCAAGGAGGTGTTGATTGTAGACCACGCTGCCGGCTCTAATGGAGATGTGAGTTGTTTATATTTACTTATTTATACTTTGAGACTATATAGGCCGAAGTATACAGTGGTAAAGCGCTTGCTTGGGTAACCAAGAGAAGCGGAAGCGAATATGTTGGCCCGGATAACCAGCTATTATCATACTAAATTTCATCAAAATCTGTCCAGTGGTTTTCTCGTGATGCGTTTCTAGACAGACAGACAGACAGACAATAATTCTAAAAACTATAGATTCGGCCTCTGTATCGATAATAATGACTTTTTCAATAAAAAATCCAAAAAATATTTCATTATACAGATTCGACTCAGTTAGAATTCTATTATATGTACCTATATATGATTTTTTTATATTGAAAAAAGTTTTAGGAGCCTAAGGGTATTTAACTTAAAAACAAGCTGATTTCAGAATTTCTATAATTGTAATTCAATCCTCTGAATTAAAATAATTATTTTTCTCGAACAATCGCCGCAAAACTGACGAGAATGTCATTCTTGAAAAAAAAATGTCATTCTTTAAAAAAATAGACATCAATTTTTTTTATTCGTTAATTACTTTTTAAATTCTGACAGTTATGTAAACGCGCAATTATATTAAAATTTTATATTTTGTTTCTGAAATAATTGTTTAAAATACAATTTTACGTATTATGTATTTAAACGAATAATCGAGTTTTAATGAACAAATAAGCTTCCTTTAACATTGTACATGTAGTTAGTGTTGCTCTGTAAAAAATATATATTATTATATCCGTAATCTGTTAAACATCCTTTTTTTATTGTGGTAATTATTTTGTAATTATTGTAATATACTCTATTGTCATATTTTTTATTTTTAGTTCTGCGCGTAATTAATTTATTCTGTTGATGTTTGTTCTTACATTGTTATATAAAATTATCTTTTACATCCACGGCTTTTAAAACTAAGTCTACTTTTGCTTAGGAACAATTTTATGAAATTTTCTTCATAACTCTTAAGCCCAATAAAGAATATACAGCTAATATTTTTCAACCGCGTTTTTTTTTCTTTTCTAAGTTATAAAGCAGTGACATCTATTGATAAATTCGGAACTAAAACATCACTGTGATGTTGAATATGTTAACATCTTTACAGACACACATTTATATTAAAAATATTTATAATAATCATTTTCGTATCATATTACCATAAATTAATCTATTTTTTCGGCTTATTCCAGCTGCCTGGAAAAATGTCGGAAGCAGTGAAGTCAGAGTGTGAAGACTGCGGGGACTGCTTCAACGTGAGTTTACTAGTTTCTATTATAAATAAAATTCTACACAAACATAGTATTTCAAAGTAATAATTTAACATTTTATTAGATTTTTTTTTAATCTTAAATCTTAAATGAAAAGTAAAGAAATGGGGAAGATATTAATTTAGTAGCAATTAAATAAATCGATTATAGTTTTTCAATGTTATAATCGATTTAATTATTTATATTTTAAATTGAATAAATATATAAGAGGTCAAAATTTATTTGAAATATATATTTTAAAAATATCTATACATGGTTAAAGGTTAATAATTGCGAAACAGTTTTTTTCGCAATCATTGTCTTTTGAAGTTATACTTATTTTGGGACAAATTTGGAAAAAAGTATGAGAGTAAAATTTTTACGATGCGCGCGTACACCGACAGCCAAAAAGCGACATTATGAAGCTAACTGATAACTATTTGTTGTCGTGGTTAACCGTTGTTATTTTATTTTGTTTTGCTATTTAATATTTATGTATTGTTATTACTACCTACATATAGGCAACACCTGTATTATAAGACCCTTAATTAATATCAAAATTTCCAAAAAAAAAACGTGTATATATGAGAAACCTGTCCGCTTTAGCTAACATCCCGGGGCAAGATCAAGGCGCTGATCCAGAAGAACTTCCTCCGCATGTGGCGCAACATCGGCGTGATGCTGTTCATCTTCGCGCTGCCCGTCATGCAGGTCATACTCTTCTGCCTCGCCATCGGCAGGGACCCCAGCGGCCTGCGTCTGGTGAGTGCACACCTACACACATACATACATACACATTACACACAGACATATACTTCAACAAACGAGCTAACATACAATCGTAAAAGTCGTATCGTTAAATTCCTTTCTTCTTTTATTAAATATAAATAACCTCGCATTCGCTTATAACACACTAACCTCATTTGGTTGGACTCTTAAAGTCCACCCGACCATAGGGTCTGGTTTTGTTGTCATTTTTATTTTATTTGAGGTAGATTCGTGCGTGTATAATATTAGAATTAAAAGATGTGAACAAAAAGAAAAGCTTAACAAGTCCAACTTGTAAAATAACAACAAAACATGAAAATGCTCCAAAAAAGGCACTGACGTATGTCTGTGGGCGTTAGACTTATTCAAATTAAAAAAAACATACAATCGTATGGTAAATAATATATAGTAACGCATATTGTTTGTAAATGCATGAATAAAGAGTTTCATTTCAATTTAACTTAAAACAGTTGGGATTACTAATACTTAATAGTTAGGTACACTATTTATTTTATAACCACAGTATACGACATAAAATAACCCAAGTAAGTTTAATGAAGGCGTGTGGCGCGCATACTACGTTTTGAGACGCTCCCGATTGTTATATTTATTTTTATATGTCAGTCGGGAGAGGCATTTGTGTTTACCGGGATATAACTATAACTTGACGACATGTTTGGCTTAGTGTGTAATAACCCTACTTGCTGTGCCAGCGATCGCGGGTTCGAGTCCCGCTGGGGACATTCATTTGTGTGATGAGCACGAATGTTTGTACTCTAGTCGTAGGTGTTTATATTTATTTTTAGTTTGTATATGTGTGAAGTTATATATGTGTAGTGTATCAACTGTCTGGATTTCATAACACAAGTCGTAGCTTACCATGAACTACATTTTGCTGTGTGTTAATGTCCCAACATATTCATTTACCGTGTTTATCGTTAGCGTTACCAACAAACTTGACATATCACCATTATTGCCGGATCATTAGTGCTAGATTTAATCTTAACATTGCCCTTGGGCATAATAAGAAATGCCGCCCTTTTATCGGAATTTTGAATAAAATGTTAAAAGTTTAAATTTCATTAATAATTATTAAGTATTTTTTTTTTGAGAAAAGCATAGAATTATTTTGTAAATGATATATTAATTTTTCAAAAAATGTAAGTACCTACTAGTTTGTCTTTTTTGTATTTTTCATTTCTTGTAAACTAAAAAAACGCGAAGAAATTTTTTTTTCACTTTCTGAATTTTGCCAGCCCTAAAAATTTGCCGCCCAGGGCTCTAGGCCCGAGTGCTCTAGTGTAAATCCAGCGCTGAACACCTCATTAACACAAGAAACACTCGCAGGCGATAGTGAACCACGACGTGAACGTGATCGACGGCAACTGCCCGTACAACGCGTCGTGCTCCATGAAGAACCTGTCATGCCGCTACCTGGCGCACTTCAGCAACAAGACCGTCGTGAAGGAGTTCTACGCGGACGTGCCGGCGGCGACGGCGGCGGTGCGCGCCGGCCGCGCCTGGGGCGCCGTCTACTTCAACGAGAACTACACGGACTCGCTCGTCGCCAGGCTCGCTTTGGGTCAGTTATTTGTGTATTCCTTTGTAATGTCCCACTGCTGGGCCCTTCAAGGAGGCCCACCCCCAGCAGTATTGAAATACGACGGGGATCAGACCGTAATCCACCACGCTGGCCGAGTGCGGACTGAGCATGTCTTTCGAAAACTTGCTAGGTTCTCTCAGACATGCCGGTTTCCTTACGATGTTTTCCTTCACCGTTAAGTGGTAATCATGTTTGAAATTATTCGCACATGAAAATATCAAAAGTGCGAGACGAGGGATTTGAACCCGCTTCACTCGGTTTCCCAAGCGAGCGCGTTACCACTGGGCTACCACTGCTTCAAGTTATATTTACTTGCGATATATGTTGAAATATTAGCGACATATGGGAATATGCGTGTCATTTAAATAAAGGTGAAATATTTTTTTACAACTTTTATATTGCTTTTGAATTAAGCCTATATCAATATTTTTTTATATAATTACTTTTTAATTAAGGAAATAATTATTAAAAAATACAAATATAATTGGGAAATTCAAAGTAGTTGAAACGCACGCCATTGGTCAGACCGAATATGACGTCAGAGTATATCATAACAGAACGATCAGCGATTCTGTCAACAAACTGAGTCGTCATTTCTCTATGTATATCATACTGTGACGTCACTCCGTCACGAAAAGGCGGGTGTTTAAAGTACCCGATGATATATTTTTTTAAATTTATACCAAATTTTAGTGTTTTGGGGCTGAATATTTTTTTAAAATTATATAACGATGTTAGCTATTATTGTATTTAAAAAAATCACGCACATTCCCTATTGAGATGTGTTTAAATTTTCATAGTCACTGACAATGTTATTATGATATAAACGGACGGTATAACTGTGAACATGGCGCTTGTAACAGCGCCGAAATATTGGTAACTTTCAAAAATAATTCCAAACATGGTAAACACCACGTTTTAAAGCATAATAATATTTACTATTAACTTATATTAGATTCAATGGACTTAGCCTATCTACCTAGAGTTCTACCTAGAGTTAGTTCAAGTCATAATTTATTCCACAAGGATATTGTGGTTATTCTACAATTCATTGCACAGTAGCGATAGAACTCCGCTGTGGCTTTTAATAAGTAAGAATCTGATCGAGGATCCTCGGGACATTATAGAAGGCAAAATACATTTTAATAAACAAAAACATGCCTGTGTTACTCTCGAGACCTTCAAATAACTTCCAAAAAGAAAATAAAATCATATAATTCAAAAATGCCTGTGTAGTGTAGTTTAGGTTTCAATAGTACAAACAAAAAAAAGATAAAATAATTTTTGTCGCTGACTGTCGCCAGTTCTCTCAGAATTCTTGCTATTCCTTCCCAATTTGATGGTAGGCTACATTTAATTAAAAAAATGGTATAGATTAATGCTTTATAAATAATCTAAAAGCTGAAAGCTAGTATTTAACTAAATGATATTTTAACCATTACAGCGGACACGGCGGACAACGAAACGATTTCGTCCTCCGAAGTGCAGGTGTGGCTCGACATGTCCAACCAACAGATCGGGCTCATGCTCAATAGAGATATACAGTTCTCGTACCGCGACTTTGCTAAGGTTTGCTATTGTTTATATTGTTTTATGGGATATTGATGGGGTTTTTATGTTTTTTTTTGGAACCGCACGTTATATTTGGCACATTTGGTAAATGAGAACGAGACAAAAACAAGTAATATTTCAACCGTAACGACATTTTTTATTGTTTACCTCCTACGAGCACCCGCGTGACGTCACAAGTACCAGGCGGTCGTAAGTGTTGAGTGTTGTATGTTGTAAGAGATGCGTGAGTGCTCTGTGGAGGCTTTCCTTCGATGAGTTTCAACGTTGCTCGATTTGTATGCTCTCCTGTTTTTTATGTATTTTTATTTTTTGCATCCAAATTTTTATTATGTATCGTTTACAAAACAAAAAAAATTGTTACCTATTTAAAACACTATTAGCTACGTTTTATAAAAAATTTGTTAATCAAAAAACTATGGTTTAGTTTTTCTTTAAGTTTTTAGTAAAAAGAAAAAATAATGCATATTCCAGGACCTGCTATCGACATGCAACTACAACCCCAAAGTGGGAGACATCCCCATCGACTTCCAGGACCCCATCTACGGCGACAGCAACCCTTCCTTCACAGACTTCGTGGCTCCCGGGGTTATACTCACGTGAGTTATTTTATAAATTAGATTTAAACTATTTATACTCGAAAAAGGCAAAGTCACTTACGTGAGTACAATATCTATACTAATATTATAAAGAGAAAAGTCTTGATTTTTTGTTTGTTTGTATTGAATAAGTTCCGAAATTGCTGAACCGATTTCGATGAAATTTGGTAAGATGATAAAGGGAGTGAAAATGGGGATGGCAGTTTGTATGGGGGAATCAACCTAGGGACGAACCCGAGCGAAGAGAGGGTGAGTGAGTCGCTAGTATGAAGTGAAAAAAAATACAAATTATCACTACATAAGTTGGTACTCAGTTAACGAGATAGGATAAAATTCAAAATATTTTATTCAGCATTCAATTATTACAATTTTTTACTGAACGTCATGAGTCTACTACCTGATATAGTTACAGATGTATGTATATTAAACTTTATTAAATCGGTTATTTTCTAAGATATATTGTGAGAGCTGAGATTTAAATCTGTTAATTGAGCTAACATTTTTTTATTGTAGATGTTATTTCTTGTAAAGTTGTGCTCCTTCAAATGTAATATCTTTTTTTATATTATTTGTCTTAGTAACATTTTTTTGTTAACCCTTGTAAGAAATAGTGACGAATAGCGGGATGGAAAGGTAAAACAATCAACATACAGTGAAATAATCTGAAAGTAATCTATAGATATGTATAAAAACACAAATAAAATAAAACTAAACATTTATTATTATTACTAGCGGCTTATGTTTCGGGATATAGGTTTCTTAGAGATGAGATATTTTTCTGCAGTAAAAAGTATCCTAAATGTTGATTGGGGTTACCAGCTATCATCATACCAATAATAGTTTTGATGTGTATACAGACAGACAGACAGACGGATGGACGAATTTAGTGGAAAAATGTTATATATCTATCTGTCTGGGTATATATAAACTTTCATCCCTATTTTCACCTCCTTAAGGGATGATTTCCGGGATAAAAAGTATCCTATATCCTTTCCAGGGCCTCAAACTATCTTCTTACCAAAAGTCATCTAAATCGGTTCAGTAGATCTAGAGATTAAACCCCCTACAACGTCACAAACTCACAAACTCTACCTCTAGATAATATTAGTATAGATAGATCATATGGTAGTTGTACATTTGGGTCGTGTGTCGGTGTCCAGCATCGTGTTCTTCCTGGCGGTGGCGCTGACGTCGTCGGCGCTGATCGTGGAGCGCATGGAGGGGCTGCTGGACCGCTCGTGGGTGGCGGGCGTGTCGCCCGGCGAGATCCTGTTCTCGCACGTGGTCACGCAGTTCGTGGTGATGGTGGGGCAGACCGCGCTCGTGCTCGTCTTCATGATCCTCGTCTTCGGCGTCAAGTGCAACGGCAACATCGCCTACGTCGTCATGCTCACGCTGCTGCAGGGTACGTTCTTGTGTTCACGATATACTTGTATGTATGTATATAGTATGTATTTAATATATGTTTTTTTTTATATGATTATTTTAAGTATGGCTATTATAGTGTGTTTTTGGTTTTGGTGTATATTGATTAGTATTGAGTTTTTTTATTCGTTTATTTGTATCTTTGTTTTTAGTTTTATTTTTACTTTGTTTTTATTTATATATATTTAATGTCATGAATTTATAACATATGGAGGGTATAAACAATGAACAAAAAATGTCACAATTTTTTTGTACTGGTAACAATCCTATGTCTATAGTACTTGCACTCCCAACTATTGGTTCCCACAAATACTCAATGAAAATCACTAAAAATGTTTTTATCTAAGTTTAAAGCGAAAAAACCCGGAAATGTCCATCATATACTGTTAAAGGAGAATTATCCAAATGTCTACATGGTAAAAAATTACTACATACTTTAATCTTAATAAAAATATTCTACTTCTAAACTACTTTAAATTGCTTTTTTCCCATAATCTATTCATTAGGATATGCTTTGTTTTTTTTTTGTATAATTATTAATTACGTAAATTAACTGATTTTAAAAAAGGAAATGTTAAATTTTTTAATAATTTTTGGGTGTATGTTACATTATATTTTAGTTAAATATAATAATGACGATGATTATAATAAACCCCAAATAATTTACAAAAGAAGAATTTAAAATGATTCTAACCATTTTTTAAATAATTTTTAATCAAAAAACCCCACGACTCCAGGTCTATGCGGCATGTGCTTCGGCTTCGTGATATCGGCCGCGTGCGAGCTGGAGCGCAACGCCATCCAGCTGGCGCTGGGCTCGTTCTACCCCACGCTGCTGCTGAGCGGCGTCATCTGGCCCATCGAGGGCATGCCGTGGGCGCTGCGCGGCGCCGCGCTGTGCCTGCCGCTCACGCTGGCCACGGGCGCGCTGCGCGCCGTGCTCACGCGCGGCTGGCCGCTGTCCGAGCCCGACGTCTACCTCGGCTTCGTCGCCACGCTCAGCTGGATCGCGCTTTTCCTCATAGTCACCATACTCATACTCCGGTTCAAGCGCGGCTGATCGTCGTGCTGGAGAACGGAAGGTATGTGGTGGCGCAGTCTAATAATCCATACAGTTTGTGGCTTCGATGGTTTTAGATAAGTATCGACGGGAACGATAGACCACGCTAGCCGAGTGCGGGTTGACGGTTTATTAATGTAAGATTTAGTTTGAGTTAATTGTATTAAGCTTTGATGTTTACGAAAGTGTTTGAATTGTATTGAATTGTGATTTGTTATCTAACGTAAGGGTTGTCGGAATGTTGATTTTGTAAATTCACAGTGAACGGTTTTTGGTCAACCCTAATAGTTACTCCCGATTGGCATATAATAATTGAATATGACATTCGGGTGCGACTCGTTCAGGTATCATTACAGATTTGTTCTGTTTAAATGCTTTTGTTAAACGATTGTATGGATTAATAGACTGTGGCAATAGTTACCGTAGAGTAAGATGCCATACGTAGACTTCTCTTTTATTTGTGGCTAGAGCCATCTAGTTAGTTTCTGGTATGGTAGCAGATTGCCTTTTTTTTGTAATTTAATCCCCAATTGGATATGGTCTGACTTTGGATATGATTGAAACGGAAATCTAACTCGCGATCTTTTGTACATAACTCGTTGTATTGCAATAGGTAGATGGTTTTTTTGTTTACCTTAAATTTTAGGAACAATAAAATATAACAGTGAAGTATCTGCGTTTTGCTCAGTTTATATTTAAGATATAATTATGGAGTATGTACAGTAAGTATAGGTTATATTAGATATAAGTAGACTTAAGTAAGGTTTATGTAGCTAATGTTTCAATCTTCGTCCGGGGGATTCCCCGGTACATGAAATTAATATTTCTGATCCAAAATTGTATGGAGTTTTGTTATTATTTATAATTATATACTATAATATCGATAGGTGCTGCGCAATCAGTAATGTATTTATTTCTTCTGTGGTCGTATGGTGTAGTGTAACGTAGAGAACTTGTAACACACGTGTCAGACTGTGATTATTTTTTGCTAACATTGACATTTTTGTAATGACAATTATAATAAAACTGTACCAAATAAATATGAGGTTATTTTATTTATTTATTTCTAATAATTAATTTACCTATTGTTTTTATTTTACATTTACCGAACAATCTCCTTTGTCCATTCTAGAAGTAATCTCTTCTCAACTGGCACGCTTTGGAGCCATTAACATGAGAATTAAATTGAATACTTTATCATTACTAGATACTTTTCCAATAATTATGACGATGACATAATATTCATTTTATAAAACAATAGTTGCTAATGTTTATTTGGATATTAGTAAAATTATTTTAAATACAAAATAAATAATAATTAAAAAAGTAAATTGGCAAGCAAAATGTTTTGGAAAAAGTGGAATTAGAAAAAAAATTAGATGCAGGTTCGAATCCTGTAAGTTCATAAAGCAACGAATTTACTCTGACATGGCCATCTTGACATGGGACGTCATCTGCATCAGAAACAAAAAAATAGTTCAAATAAATGTCAATAGAGATGGCAGTATATCGATTTGATATTTATCGATTTTATGAAAATAGTTTGCCTAAAATTTACAAAAGAATAAATAGATCCCAAAAAGGTATATTATAGCGAGGGGTCTCATCATGAATAAAGAAAAATTAATTCAAATGTCAATAGAAGATGTTACATGTATCGATTTGTTATTAAAGTTGTGTTAAATTAACAAAAAGAAAAAAAAATAGATGCCAAAAACGTGTTTTTGTTTTAAAAAATATTCTAAGTTAAGGGAAAAGATGTAATGTAATTTTACTGACTATTGATTTATTAGCATCTATTCAGATGATGGGTCTGTAGTGTATATTCATAGATGGCGCTTTTACTTTTTTAAATTGTTTATCACGCTTAAAAATTCTGAATTTTTATTTATTCGAATGCAGAATGAATTTAAAAATATCTAACAATTTTTAGTTTGCACATATTTATAAAATAAAACATTTTAACTATTTGCGAATCAACGACGTCTATTATCTATTCAAGCACGCAAAAATAGCCCGAAGAATAACCCGAATTAGCACTGTCCTATTTTTTGTATGGGATGAGGCATCTGTACTAGTTAATAGTATTGTGATCTGTGATTAGTTTTAAAAATATTTTAAGCGAAGGATAACCCGAATAGCTGTAATCACCAGGTACCAGTAGTATAAGTATTATGTCATCTAAGGTTATAAAATCCTGATCTTTGTACAACTACAGAGACTAGCCAATAACAGCAAGAGATATTATAATGCAAAGTGAGAGGGAGCGAGCAGATACAACTATTATCTGCCCCTGTCACGCTTATTGGATATCATCAGAAGATCAAGGAGCGTGAGTACAGAATTTTTGTGGTCTGTCTCGATACAAGATGTATCACATACTCTCTGTTGCTATTGAGAATTCTCTAATCACTTTTATACACGCATACACACTATTAAAAAGCTCAAATCTTAAGTGCACCTTACTTAAATACCTGCAAGTTGGGTTTGTTACAACACTTATAACACGAGAACTGCTGGACCGATTTAAATGATCTTTATTTTGTTGGGTTTGTCTTCATCTCAGATTGTGTCAATCCCATGCAAAGTCCTCTTAAAAATTAATATACAATAATGTAAATTGAATCTTAAATGCAATGCTTAAAATTGTTTTCACAAAAAAAGCGCGCTCAAATGTTCAAATGAGCGCTCATTCATTGAGGACATTTTTGGTCGCTGATTGTGTATGCAGTACTTTTTGTTGATGATGATGATGATGAGCGATGATTATCTAACTTTAAATAAGAGTTAGTGGGCTACTATCGTATATGCAAAACTCAAAAGTAGTGCGTCACAGACACACGTACATATACACATGTTTGTTTGTTTGTTGTTCATGTTTCACACAATACAGTAAAAGCAATGCAGTAAAAGTTACTGTTAGGTTAGCTATCGTGGGCGGCGGCGGTATTATTTTCAGTGGGGTACATCTGCTCCACATTAAAATACTAATTATAATTAATCTTTAAATGATTAATTTTATAATTTTTAATCATAAATGTAATTTTTTTAAATATTTGTGGGGAATATTTATTTGGTTTTTTCACAAATATCTAAATTTAAACAGGGATTTTAGTCATATAAAATACATATTTCTTTAACTATTTTATATATTTTTCTTTATGCTAAGGGAGTGCAAGTGCAACCCCTTGCAGCCGCCCCTCTCGGCGTCCATGGTACCTAGAGAGGTATCGAAGAGAAGCAAGGGTAAATAGATAGTTTGATTTGGTTTTATTGAAAAATTTAAAATACTAAAATATTCAAATTAACAGCTTTATTATGATAAAATATTAGCCTTAAAAAATAACTTACAACATGTATCAAGTATCACACACTAATTTTCATTTTTTCGTTAAAATTTCACTTAGGACCTTCTTTTTCTTCTGTCCTTTGTCAAATTTATGTTTCTGGAAGAAATAAAAATTATTAAATAAAAGCATTACAAAATGATATGCATTAGAATTATGTACACAAAATATAGGAACAACATTTATTTATGTAAAAAATTAATATATATATTTATATAATGAAATTATTTAGACTAAAGAGTATTTTATATATCCAATATAACCAGTCCATCACAATAAATCAAGATTAAAAATAGTAGCGTGATATGCTGTTAATGCTACTATTCTCGATTTTGCCATATGAATCATTTACTTTCTTTAAAGAATAAGGAAAATTTACTATATGTATGAGTTAAATCAGTGTTTCCCATTTGGTGCCGGGACGCCGTAGTAGTTATGCTCAAGCGATCCTGCGGCGTCCCATTAAGGCGGAGGGGAGGGGAATGTCGGGTTTTAGTGGGTAGTACCGGCTCTTCTAGCCGGTGAGCCCCACATCACCACCTGGGGGATCAGGTGGTATGCGTAAATGCATTTCCCGACATTAAAAAAAAAAGTGTTTCCCATTTGGTGGGTTGCGACCCTAAAAATAAAAGATGGTCTAAAAATAAATATAGAAACCGACTTGAACTACAACCAGATCTCAGGATAAAACTTTCATCATTTGCGGCAAACTTGTATTCTTTGGTACTTCTCACTAAATAGCTGATACCGAAATATAGTTTGGAAAGTTATTGGTTTGGAGATTATAAACTATGGAGTGGGTCACGAAGGGGCAGTATGAAAATTACCAGACCATGGCATGACAATGTCTGGGAAACATTGAGGTAAATTAATATACAATTTTGAGAATCAGATATGAATAATAAAAATAATACTATATCCTATTGTATTTCTTAAGCATTACTTCTCCCTTGAAAGAGAGATTGCATTATATTAGCTTATTTCTTTATTATGATGAAATCCTTTACTTTTTTACTTATCACTCAGTTTACAAATTGTCATTTGTACACTATTTTAAAACATTATTGTTTGATTTGTTGTTTAGTTCTATGACTCTGTATAGATGTAGATTAGTGATGTAACGAATATTCGCATATTTTTTGACATTCGCATACGCAAGAAACGATGCGAATGTTTGGCGAATGTGTTTGACAAACAAAAAGGAAATTATATAAGGAATGAACGGACGAATGAAAATACAACTGTGATTTACTCATGTTTTATATCACTTTGTGAATTTGACTAAGTATTGCTTGTATTAAGCCCTTTTTTTTTAACGTCCCACTGCTGGGCACGGGCCTCCCTACAGTACGAGGGGAATCAGGCCATAGTCCACCACGTTGGCCAAGTGCGGATTGGCGGACTTCACACGTATTTTGAAAACTTGCTAGGTTCTCTCAGACATGCAGGTTTCCTCACGATGTTTTCCTTCACCGTTAAGACAAGTGGTAATCATGTAGGAAATGATTCGCACATGAAAATATCAGAGGTGCGAGACCCGGGATTTGAACCCGCTTCACTCCTTCCCAAGGTACTGCTTAAATTTGACAAATGCTATAATACTAAACTAACCTCACATCACAACAAATCTTTTCGAACGAACTCTATGTGATTAACTTCGTTCATTCAACCTTACTAACCTAACTGCTCGGCTATGTTCGGTTTAAACATGGCGGACACGAAATGTCAAACTGACTGACATTTAGCGCGCGCTTTGTTTAAAAATCAACATTCGCATAATAGTAGGGGAGCCCAAGAGGGGATTTTCTGTAGTTACTCGAGCGCGGCAGATTAACATAAAAGAGGTTACCTTGCACTCTATTGAGTACTTTCACCACAATATAAGTCTTCTATATAAAGGGGCGCGTCTAGGGAAGCCGATTAAAATATTTAAAAAATGTTTTGATAAGGTAGAAATACTTGAAACCGTCAGATTAAGGTGTGGTAGGCTAGTCACATCCTGAAAAGTGTCCAATTTAATAATCTGCCGATTTGCACAAGCCGAAGAGGCAAAAATCGACTATAAAGTTTATGATAATTTTTGCTTCTTAGGCTTGTGCAAATCGGCAGATTATTAAATTGGACACTTTTCAGGATGTGACTAGCCTACCACACCTTAATCTGACGGTTTCAAGTATTTCTACCTTATCAAAACATTTTTTAAATATTTTAATCGGCTTCCCTAGACGCGCCCCTTTATATAGAAGACTTATATTATGGTGAAAGTACTCAATAGAGTGCAAGGTAACCTCTTTTATGTTAATCTGCCGCGCTCGAGTAACTACAGAAAATCCCCTCTTGGGCTCCCCTACTATAACGCATTCGTATTCGTATTTGCGAATATTCGAGATGAATATTAGCATTCGCGAATGTGAAAAATTTAACATTCGTTACATCACTAATGTAGATATGACAAACCATCGATCAAAACAGTACTAGATACACAAACAGCGACAAAAAATGTCCTCACCGAATGAGGCATTTTTTGCATTTGAGCACGCTTTTAATAAATTTTTTTTGTGAATACAACTTTAAGCATTGTATTTAAGGTTCAATTTACATTGTTGTATATTTATTTCAACTAGAATAATTACCTAAATACAATAGGTGACAGTTTTAAGAAAACTTTTGCATGGGATTGTGTATCTAGTATTTTTTTGATTGATGCACTATCTATATTATTATTTAGTCTGATGGAAATTTAAAAAAAAATATAAAATTACTATATTGTTACAGTTTGTATTTAAAAATAATATTTATTTAATTAAAAATTTAACTTACCTTTTTCTTTTCTGCCGTCATACCAACAAACTCCTTCCGGACTTTCTTCTCCTTATGTGGTTGGTTCAAATTCTGACGTTTATTCGGAGGCCCTTCCCCACCATTCTGGTGATTAGAATATTTTATCTTATTAAATTAAAATGAGCATTTCTTGTATTTACATTATAAATATATACATTTATTTAGTGTATATCGCAACACTGGTTTTGTTATTATATACTGTGACGTCACGCCAAATGCGCGAAATGGCAGGTTGTTTAAAGTATCCGCATCGGTATAATAATAATTCAAAAAAATAAATTAATACAAAATTTTAGTTTTCTGGAGATGGATGTTTATAGGGTTCCATACCCTAAGAGTAAAACGGGACCCTATTACTAAGACTCCGCTGTCCGTCCGCCTGTGTATACGTCCATCTGTCAGCAGTCTGTATCTCATGAACCGTGACATTTAGAAAGTTGAAATTTTCACTTTAAAAAAAATTATTAAATTAAAACGAAACTTTTTAGGGGGCACTCCCATATAACAAACGTGAATTTTTTGCTGTTTTTATAGATAATGGTACGGAACCCTCCGTGCGCGAGCCCGACTCGCACTTGGCTGTTCTTTTTTTACAATTATTAATGATGTAAGCTATTGTATACAAAATAAAAAAAAACATGCATATATTGAATTGAAGTTTATATGGAAATTTTAATTTAATTCTATCGCTAGGGAAGCCCCTACAGCTAGCTCACTGCTGATATTATTATAAATATTAGCCCACCTGGTTTTTTCTTTTATTCATAACCCTTCTATAGGCTCCTTCATTTTTGTCATCACTATTATTAAATCTTCCTTTGTTGAAATTATTTACGTCTTGTCTGCCATAGCTTGTCTTTTGGAACTTTTGATTCTGTCCTTGATTTTGGTAGCCTTGCCTATTCTGTCCTTGATTTTGGTAGCCTTGCCTATTCTGTCCTTGATTTTGGTAGCCTTGCCTATTCGGTCCTTGATTTTGATGAATTTGCCTATTCTGTCCTTGATTTTGATAGCCTTGTCTATTGTTTGGTTTAATTACTTTCTTTTGTGTCATTTGTGTGCATCTTTTGACTCGTAATATCCTATTTTTGATGGTCAGATCTTCTTCTGTCAATGCTAAAGCAAGTTCCACTCCATCTTTTGAAGCAAAGTTAATATATCCAAAACCTGTGGATTATTTTGATCATATCATTATTAAAACTTATTCTACTTAAAGATTTTGTAAACAAATAAAAAAAAAAGTCATTAAGAAAACATTCCAATTTCCACATTCATAAAGAATGATTCGTTTACTTGATACCGAGAGACTTATATATTTTAATATGCAAACTCTGGAAGACCGAAGGGACAACGCCTATTTTTGCATGCGGTATTCACCTTCTTCCTTCACAATATGATTTTCATTTGAAATGTGGTTTTAAAATCTTATAATGCAATTATGATCTTTACCAAAATGGCGACTATTGGGAATTTTTTACCTATTTAAACTAGTTAAAATCCAACGATACTATATACTCACTTGCATTGAATAAAAATAAATTTTCCTATATATCAAAAACTTTTCATTAATATATAGTAACACTTTATATGCTTCTGAGTATTACATATTGACATCCAGCAGACAAAACTGAAGTAAATTAGTGACATGCTGGTATTCCAGATAGGGCAAGAGTGTAGAATGTAGAATGAAGGTGTAAAACCCTAGAACCACTCTGTATAAGAGTGGCTTTAGATAGATCTCAATGGCGAAAGTTGGAGTCTTTGCCAAAGCACATGGAGATCAGATACATAAAATTATAATTTATCAACCATTTATAATATTTACAAATGTGCTTTACTATCTGAATAAAGGCTATTTTATTTTTGAAGTTATACTTTGCCCTGCGGTGTTGCAGATGTCCATGGGTGGCGGTGATCACTTTCCATCAGGTGAGTCTCCTGCCCGTTTGCCCCCTTAGTCCCATAAAAAAAAATACTTCTTTTCGCACATTAGGGAAGAAAATGATAAGTGATTTTTTTACAAAGCGACAGATTTAGAATACAGTATGAAGTTAGTTGTTAATCCCCCTTTAGTATAGTGTGAAGTGATGTCTATAAACAAGATACTTTTATCTTATGTTTCTAAGTAATGTAATAAAAAGTATAACAACTAAACCTTTTCCAGCATTGGTCTTCTTATCTCTTATTATACGGACTGACTCAATCTCGCCACATTTTTCAAACTTCGCCCTCAAAGTTTCATCTTCTATTGCAAATGGTATATTGCCTACAAAGACTGAACACTTGGGGTCGTGTTCGGTCCCCCTGGAGTCACTGCGGGACACGCGCAGGTGGTGGTCACGTAAAACCGTGTTGTTTTCACAAAGGGCCTGAAAAGATTATAAAGGCTTAATATTCTGTAATTTTGAAAAATTATACATAATTTCTTTATTTTGTTGTGTGTAAGCTGATGATCATTTTAGTGCAATGAGCTAGTATATTTCTAAGTAATATTTAGCGCTTGATAGTTGATGGCATGACATTTTATCATTTATACTGGTTTTTGTTTTGGTCTGCTAATAATGTGGAGACAGTATAAACAATAAGATATTATTTTATAAAAGTAAATGCCGACTTTGTCTATTTTAGCACTTACGCATAAGCAATAACTAATACTATCAATTGTTTAGTTGTCAACAAAGTAACATTAAGATGTTTTGTGACTAATTCTTTATGATGAAGTTATTCTTCATTGTACTTTAGAATTAAAAAATATTCTACCTTTTCTACTGAACCTGCATCAGCAAATTTGACATACACATTGACTGTACTTCTGTCAGGATGTAGTTCATTTTTTATTACAGCCACTTTTGGAGTTACTGTTGCATCTTTAACTGGTACTGTGCGGATCCTAAAAGTATTATTTAAAAAAATATTTAAGTGTGTAAAATAAATTGTAAAGTAATGCTATAATAAAATAATTATGAAGAACAAAAGTTTTTACCTGACTGTTTCTATCTGTCCATACTGACTGAATATCTTTTTGATTTCCTTCTTACATTTAGTGCTAAAAGGTACATTGCCCACAAAAATTGTTCTTTTCACTTCATCTTCTGTTATTAGAGTTTCTTCCTTTTTAGGAGCCTCATTTTTAGGTTTCTGTTCTTCTTCATCTGAGCTTTCCTCTGCTGGACCAGGGTCTAGAGCTTTTTTATTAATCTCTTCACTTTCTGACTCCATTTCATCATCAGATTCATGTTCTGAGTCAGTATCTTCGTTGGTCACAGCATTAGGGTTGATCTCCATAACTTCATTTGTTTCAACATTAGCTTGTGACTTTTTCTTCTTTTTATTTTTCTTTTTCGGACTTTGAACATTTGTCTCAATTGATACAGAAGTGTCCTCTGATTTGGTAGGCACATTTGGCTGCACTTTATTTTTTTTATTTTTATTTTTTGTTTTGACATGATCTTGGATATTATTAGATTTTGTGGATTCGTTTGATTCTAAAGGCTCATCATCATTTGCTTCTTGTTCAACTTCTGTATGTACTACTGATTTTGACTTTTTCCTTTTCTTCTTAGATGTTGTAGTTTCAGAAGCAACATTTGTAGCTGCATTTTCTTTTTCATTATCTTTTTCTTTTAAGTTGTTTTCATCTATAGACAAGTTCTCATTTTCACTTACAGAAGTACGTTGTTTTTTCTTCTTTTTAGATATACTTTTGTTTACTTCTGGTTCATTGTCTTCACTTGTTTGTAACTTTTTCTCTTTTTTCGCTAAATCATTAACATTATCATTCGTCTTTTTAGGTGATTTAGGGCTTAGCAAAATCTCATCTGTTTTAACAGCAGTTCCGTCTAATTCGTCCTTAAGATGTTTCTTTACTTTTATAGCCTTTGGGCTACTCACGCTCGAATTTACTTCATCTTCGTTGGTAACATCTAAATCTGGGTTCTGAAATATTCTTTTGGGAGATTTCTTAACAATCGCTTTCTTTTTTTGCATGGTCGGAGAAAGAAATATAGATCTATCCTCGACAAATTCACTTTTCGGAGTAACGTTAGGAGAAGGCTGGTGTTTTGTAGGTGTGAGCGCCTTTTTAAATTTTCTAGGCCTGTTTGGCGTCACGTTACCCGATATCAATGCTGCAACGCTGCCTACGACATAATCCATGGCCAAATTAAAACAAACCGATTTAAAATAAGTTTAAAATTTCTATACCGTTTATCGAGCCCACATGGTATTTTGACATTAAAAAATAAAAAATAACAATGTGATTGTGATGTGACTATGACTTTGACATTTTTTAATAATATTTTTTTTTTGGTTTCGATTCTCATTTTTCGAGCTTATAATAATTTATCATCGATTCCAATACATACGATATATTTTTATGATTTAAACAATTATTTCATATTTTTGTAAGTAGCTGTTAATGTCATCAAACTTCTTTTATTTTTTTAATAAGTCATTATAAACCATTATAATAATTTCGTAACGGGTAACCTGTTAATTGTTATTTCGTTACATGGTAACATTGATATAATTTCGTTTGTGCCGCAGAGAAATGAGCAGAAACGACGCTTTCAATTTAAATATTTGTTTTATTTGATAGTACACCGGATATTTCAGTGATAGTTCAGTGGTTTTTTTTATTCTATTGCGGATTACTTTTTAATTAAACGTAAGTACAAAATAAGATCCTAATTTGAAAAATAGATGAAGCCGCGCGCCATGTTATGCCGCCCGCCATTCTTTCAATTTATTTTTTGTAATTAAGTCTAAACCATTTAGATTTATTTTGTATTTATTTAAAAGATTATTTTTACATGGAATAGTTTTGCGAAGAAAAATATTCAAAATAACTTTGATTTGATTGATTTCTAAAACTTTATAAATAAGGTGAGGTTATAAAATAAATTACGCGCTCGAATCTAAAAATCTGGTCATGAATACGAAATACGATATGATTTTTTTTTTGTTCAACCTTAATGCACGAGTAATCTATACTGTGCAGTATTCTCTCATTAGGTACCTATTTCTATTACCATCGAAACTAGTTTGTGCGCAAATTGTTTTTCACAAAAAACAAGGAAGTGTTAGCATATTTTATGTTCATGGCCTTACACAGTGATAATACTAGATATTTTTTTACTCAATAGAATATTATTATTTTAAGAATTAGCACTTGTGATATTTTTCTACAAAGTGTATTCATTAAAAAATACTATTTACCAAGCTAAATTATTTTTAGCTTTGGACTTAAACTAAAATTAATTTTATGAATTTCCATATCATCTCATATAAAATAATATAGTGTATCTATTTGTATATCGACATGAAGTAATAATAAGTATGTAAACAGACATTGCCTAAATGTTGAATGATAAAAATAAAAGATTAATTGAATCCATTAAAAAATAATAAATAAAACATTATCATAATAATGTAATAATATTACTATTATTGGCAGGTCACAGACCTTAAATTAATTTGACCTAATCTTATATCAATCTCGTTAGTTGTATGCTGTATGTATACAATTATAGATAAGCAATTTATTCAGTTTAAATGTAACCTTCTCTAATAAATTATAGATTAAATATGTGATTTATAAATGAAACAACCGATTAAATATTTTTGAAATTTGTATAGTAAGTCATTCTACTTTTATTTCTAAATATGTTTGAATGAGTCACCTTACTATATTATAAGAAACTTCATGCAGGATCCCATAATCCCATAAATATTATAAATATGAATATTTGGATGGATTAATGTTTGTTACTTAATCACACCAAATGGTTCCGGATGACATTTGGCACAGATAGATTATAGTATATATTATATTGAATAGCATATTGGTTATTTTGTATCCTGGAAAAATGTACGGTTCCTGTGGGATATCTATACTAACCATAAAACATACATAATGTTACGAATCCATGCAATACGAAGTGCTATATAATATGGCTCGTCTTTTATATATTGGTGTGCCGTGGACAGTGTGATTTTTTAATGCAAATTACTTATTATCTTATTATCTTGAGTTAGGTATCCCATAAAATTTCAAGTTGAGGGAATAAATACTTTCACAAATAAAAAATTCAAAATTTGATAAATATAACTTCAATTCTGTTTTAATTTATTGCTTTTGACATATTTTTTTTTATTTTAGGTAGTTTTAATTTTGCGTTTTGATTTTGCAAGACAGAAGGGTTGCCGTTTTAGGGAGTTTTAATTATGCGTTTTGAATTTGCAAATAATAAGTTAACGCGCAGTATAATTTTTATTTGAAAATTCACAAGTTTAATTTGGTTTTACCAATTTCACAGTGAATTCTGAATTTTTTGGGTGCATATCTACGAAAATTTTGATATTGTGACAATATACATTTATTTTCGCAAACGCTTTGGCAACCATTTTGTGATTTTTTATGTCTTATATCATTCAGTGTCTGTACACGCGTTTGAGAGCATCTGCCATCGCGCTAGAAAACAACATTGAATACCTGTCATCATGTCTTCATCGTCCGGATTAAGTCCGATGAGAGTGACTAATAGTGCAAGTGAAGTGTCGCGTGTTTTGGACTCTGTTGAGCCGCACGCTCTTTCCGTATCTTCCAGTTTGGAGGACCCAGTTGACCCACGATCTTTTTCGGATTCTATTGTTCCTAAGAGGAAGCACCTTTACGCCGAGGAGGTGCGAAGTCAGTGGAATTTTGAAAAAATATATAAGGTTTTGGGTACAGAAGAGAAGTGTGTGGAGTTCTCGAAGAGAGTTGGACTTATACCAACAACCTAAAAATTGTAATATACACCGCATTCCTATGCGTGTGATAAAGATTGGTCCAGTGGGTACATTTAAATGCTGTAGAAAAAATTGCAGGAATAGAACGAAATCAAGAGCTCTAAACACATGGTTTGAAAATATTAAAATAGCACTGAGAATAATATTTAGATATATGTATTGCTTTGCTGCAGACCTGTCATATAGGCAAACTCTTCACGAGTGCTGTACAGAGGACAGAGAAGTAGTTGTATCCCCAGTCACGATCTCCGATTGGTTCAAATACTGTAGAGAGGTAGTAATAATTGATTTTAAAGAAAATGATAAAAACTCTGAAGATTGGCATCTAGAGCATTGTTGGAGAAGACATGCAGATAATAACAATCTAGACCCGTTTGAAGAATTGATAAAATGTATAATAAAAGTTTATATACCCTATTTTTTGTTTTTTCTTTTATTATTCCTTTTTTGAATAAGTAAATTATAATACTCATAGATTCTGACTTTTATATTTAAGTAAATACTTATTGTTGATTTTATGTTTAGAAAACTATTTTTTAAGTACTTAACTAACTAAGGCATCTAAATGGCCTAATTAAAAAAAAATGATTTATTATTATCACAAATATGTAATAGCTATAAAATTTGCTTTTATATTATCTTTTTGACAAGTTAGGTTCGTTGTCACATCTTGGTTAGATTAGAACAGTGACCACAATGGCAAATGCAATTAAACTAGTAAAATCGAATTTCACGCAAAATCGAAGTAGGTAGGTAAACAGTTAACAAAACATAACCTCATAATGAGATTTTTAAAAATTCATAAAAAAAACTGCATTTCCTCAACTTTTCCTTTGCACTCCCCACTCCCTCCCCCACTTAAATATATAGATATTTTATATGTACCCTTATATCCCCTCAACTGTCGCTGTCATTTTACAAAAATATGGCGCATCTGTCGGCTACTTTTCGAGGGCCTGCGCGAAATATGTACGCATCATTAAAATAACAATATTTATTAAAATTTTATATATAAGCTATATATAAAGCTTATATCGTTAGAATCGTTTTAAAATAAACTAAGAATATATATATATATATATATATATATATATATATATATATATATATATATATATAAATAAGATCAATTGTATTTAATATTATATAGTTAATTCTAAGTTGAAATTACTGTAAGTGATTTTTTATCAGTATATAGCATGAAAACAGGAATTATTATAAAATAAAACTATTATTTTAAAAACTTTTAATTTCATTTAATTATAGATACAATATTTTATATTAATTGATTAAAACAACACAACTCACTGTACATTTTTTTTATACCACAAGCTTAACAATAACATGTTTCAATTATGGCGACTTAGCGCCGGATAAAAAAAGAGGTGTTTTTTATACTTGAATTCTAAGAGCATTGAAGATCAAGAGATTTAGGATAATCATTTATATTATAGTTTAGTCCACGTACGTTATACTGACAAAGTTTGAGTTCTTATAACTATTTAGTTTACGAGAATTGAACGATAAACCAAACACTAGAAAATAAGTGCTAAAAAATGTCATCTCAAACTTTGGATCGCAGAGCAAATTCTGTTTAAATTTTCTTTAAAATATATTTACACCTTACAATTAAGTGATATTTCAAAATGAAAAATATAATAAAAAGACATGTTGCCTTATTAGAATATTTCAGAAATCAATTCTGTAAACTAACAATTTTACTATAAGAATTACAAGGGACAGCTAAAAAAGTATGGATACGACCAATTCCATCACATCTGAACAGATTATGTTATGGAAATAAATTGATAATAAAACATCAAATCAAAATAAAACAACTTTAATTATTAATTCGGAGAGGAATTATTTTTTTTCTACTGTTTTTAATCTCCGACGCAAAAACTACGGGGAGTTATTTGTTTGACGTGCTGTGTGTTGTGTGTGTGTCTGTCTGTGGTATGGTAGCTCCCGAAGAGATCATCCGATTTTGTTTTTGTTTTTTCTCTGTAAGGTGAATAATTCGGAAGCGTTCTTAGCTATGTTTGATGAAAATCGGTCCAAGATGGCCGCCGCCACAAAATAGCGGATTACATATTTTTTCACAACTCCCTCAATATGGGTATCAAATGAATTAGGCTTGTCTAGTATAATTTTCGAATCCAAGATGGTCGCCACCACAAAATGGTGAATTACATGTCGGGGTTACTTTTAAATTTTTCATTTATATTTTATAAGATTGAAGTATTGTGCCAGTTACTGTATTGAGTATTTGATGGACTCCATAGTTATAGTAGTAAAAAAAATATAGTAGAGTATAAAAACTTTGTAATTAGTACTCACAGATGTTTTAAATCTGAAGTAAAAAAATTTGGATGCCTTTTGTTAGGTAAAGGACACTTTTTAATGAATATTGCTTGCAGGCTTTTATACATATTTATTTTAAATGAAAAAAAAAGATGAACACCTATCCTAAAAGCAACAAATACTAATTATTACTAAGTAAAGATACATAAGTAACTATACTAACCTCCTCCCATATAATGTTCACCACGTCGTCGAAACGAACAAAGGCGTGGTATAATATATAAATCAGATATTTTCGAAGTCAGTTCCAGCCGATGCAAAGTAAATCTAATATATTTCGATACATAAAATTCATATTTACGTATTAGATATTTATATCTTAAAATATTGTCGGCTGGCACCGACTTCGAAAATATCTGATTAGGTATCTATTCTAAATGAAAACCTCCGTTTAGCTATTTTTTACATTTTGGTGCCTGGAAGTCGGTTTTTTTTAATAAACAGTTATTTATACTACACCTTTGTTCGCTTTCGCTCTATGGGGTACATTGCCTACAATTGGTCTTTCTTGTTCACCCTCCGATCATAATATTGTAATCTAATTAGGCATGTTTTAAGCAATTTTGGCGCAGCTTCAATAAACATAAAATGCAACATGATACTAGTTTAAGAGATGCAAATAAACTTATTTTTTACCCGACTGCGCGACGCAAAGGAGGGTAATGTGTTTATCAGTCTATGTATGTATGTATGTACATATGTATGTATGACACTCTAGAGACCAAACGCGTAGGCCGATTTCTATGATTCATATGTCGTTAGTTTCGTATTTACGCGAGTGTCATAAGCTATATATTGCTTATAATACTCGCGTTATAGTTAAAAATTAAAAATAGTTAAAAAGTAAAATGGCGGATATCAGGCGCCAATTTGTCTGTAAAAAAAATTTCCAAATTAATCGAATGGGCTCTTAAAATAAAGATTTTTGGTGATCACAAAAAAAATTAAGAGAACACAACTTACATGTTTAAAGGTAATTTGGGATAAGAAATTGCTAAATATTAAGTCTTTACCTATGAAATTGTCGTTTAATATACAGAAAGTTAAAGTATTGTATTTTTATAAATATTTTTCATTTCTATTAATCAAAATATGCACCCATGCTATTGATGCAATTTGATGCAAATGGACCAATATTGTTTTGATGCTAACGTTGAAAGCTGCTGCTATCTCAGCCACAGATTGAGTATCGTCGGCTTCCACTATCGCCTTTAATGCGTCGTTACTGATTTTAGTTTTCGGGCGACCACGGGGTTAATTTTTTAAGATCAAAATTTCGATGTTGGAAGTGTTCAGACCAATAACGAGTTGTGCGTTCGTTTGTAGTGTTCACTCGGCACTCCGTACGCGTCATTAATGTTGCGAGCCGTTTGTGCGGGATTGCTACCGCGATGGAACTCGTATTTCATAATTACTCGTATTTTTATTGTGTTTATATTGATGAAAAACAAACAAATGTAGTGAAAACAAAACACTAATTAATAAACAAACGACTGAATTCAAAAATAGAACTCCATACTTTTAAAATAAAATTCATTTGAATTTAGAATTTATTGCCGGCCAATCATAAATTACGTTTCCAATGACCAGTAAGTATTGTAGAACGGCAATTTCAAAAGACCTATTATAACTTCAAATTTCTAATAAAATTAAAAAGCTGTAAATAAAAAAATACATTTCATCCTTGTCGCGAGATGTACATGTGTATGTCACCAACTGCATAATACTTCATTCCTTCGTCAACTTGTTTTTATCTTTTTAGTTAGCTGTTATGCAGTTAGGTTTTTTTTTATTTTTATAATGTTTTAAAGTAATGTGTAAGTTGAACTTATATCTGTAAAATAAAAATCGTACTGTTTTAAAAAATTCAATTTTTTTTTAGAAAAACAGTTAAAATATTAAATTTCAAATAATCCTAAAAAACATCAATGAAAATATTCTAATGAATATTAAAAAAGCCTTCCCCATACTATCCAACAGCCGTCAAAAATGGCGGCTCGAATTTGGGTACGTGTTATTATATTATTAATTACTTAAAATCTAATAGAAAATTAACAAATTCAATTATACGTAGTTATTTAGTTATAAATTTAAATCATGTTAATAAAAATATTATGCTATCACTAGTGTATTTTTTATTCAGAAAAAGTGAAAATATAAGGACTAAGTGCGCGTGAATGCTTACGATGTTTGACAAATATAACAATTTCTGTATAAAATCTCTATTCAATACACATCCTATGAAATAAAAACTGTTAATTACTTACCCTTCCATCATATTCCAATCCTTATACTAATAATTTTACACTATTTTGTTAATTTTTTACTCACAAGTATTGAGTTCAAAGATCGCCAAAATTTAAATAACTTGTCTGCACAAATTACAATAATTTATGTTATTGGAGTTATTACTTTTTTGACGTGTAGTATGATATTATTGCTTGTATTTTTCTTTACACGTTACAAAAGTTAGATAAAAATAAATATAGTTTAAATGCGAGAAATCACACATTAAATGACATGGGACCAATCGACCTTTAAAAGGTCGCTTGACAGACAGGGGTGTTTTTGACATCGACCTTTAAAAGGTCGATCGACAGACGAGGTAATATAAAAGTCCTTCCTAT